GGCCACTTCATGGCTCTCCTCTCACCGGGGCTCCTCTCACCGGGGCTCCTCTCACCGGGGCCACTTCATAGCTCTCCCCTCATCGGGGCTCCTCTCACCGGGGCCACTTCATGGCTCTCCCCTCACCGGGGCTCCCCTCAACAAGGCTCCCCTCACCAGGGCCGCTTCATAGCTCTCCCCTCACCGAGGCTCCCCTCACCGGGCTCCTCTCACCGGGGCTCCCCTCGCCGGGGCCACTTCATAGCTCTCCCCTCACTGGGGCTCCCCTCACTGGGGCCACTTCATGGCTCTCCCCTCACCGGGGCTCCTCTCAACAATGCTCCCCTCACCAGGGCCGCTTCATAGCTCTCTCCTCAACAGGGTTCCCCTCACCGGGGCCACTTCATGGCTCTCCCCTCACCGGGGCTCCTCTCAACAATGCTCCCCTCACCAGGGCCGCTTCATAGCTCTCTCCTCAACAGGGTTCCCCTCACCGGGGCCACTTCATGGCTCTCCCCTCACCGGGGCTCCTCTCAACAATGCTCCCCTCACCAGGGCCGCTTCATAGCTCTCTCCTCAACAGGGTTCCCCTCACCGGGGCCACTTCATGGCTCTCCCCTCACCGGGGCTCCTCTCAACAATGCTCCCCTCACCAGGGCCGCTTCATAGCTCTCTCCTCAACAGGGTTCCCCTCACCGGGGCCACTTCATGGCTCTCCCCTCACCGGGGCTCCTCTCAACAATGCTCCCCTCACCAGGGCCGCTTCATAGCTCTCTCCTCAACAGGGTTCCCCTCACCGGGGCCACTTCATGGCTCTCCCCTCACCGGGGCTCCTCTCAACAATGCTCCCCTCACCAGGGCCGCTTCATAGCTCTCTCCTCAACAGGGTTCCCCTCACCGGGGCCACTTCATGGCTCTCCCCTCAACAGGGCTCCCCTCAATGGGGCCACTTCATGGGGCTCCCCTCAACAGGGGTCCTCTCAATGGGGCCACTTCGTGGGACTCCCCTCACTGAGGACACCTCACAGGTCTCCCCTCACCAGAGACCCCTCAACGGGACCACTTAGAATCATAGAATCGTTTACGTTGGAAAAGACTTTGAAGATCATCAAGTCTAACCATTCACCTAACACTGCCATCCCACCACTAAACCATGTCCCCAAGCACTTCACAGGTCTCCCCTCACGGGGCTCCCCTCACCAGAGACCCCCCACGGCTCTTCCCGCATGGGTCTCCCCTTACCAGAGCCCCCTGATGGGTCTCCCCTCCCTGATGACCCCTCATGCCATCCCTCCAGCCCAGCCCCGCGGGCCCCCCAGAGCAGGAAAGCCCTCCAGGGCTGCAGCCTGGACTGCCTGGTCCTGGCTGGCCCCACCATGCCCGGGTCATGGCAGCTGACACAAGGCCTTCCCGAGCCTGTGGGAACAGTATGGGAAGAAGTTCCCTTGCTCTCCGCCCGAGGGCCTCTGCCCCTGCTCAAAGCGACCCGGTCTTGGCAATGGTGCCCAGATCTGCAGCAGCAGACAAGGGCAGGGTCCCGTCCCCGAGCCCCTGTGGCTGCACCCAGGTGGGGGAGCTGCCTCTTACTTGCCTTTAGGGATGGGACCCAAAAATCTGGCATTAAACCAAGGGAAAACACTTAGGAGACAGCACCCCTTCTGGTTGGTTCCACCAAGCATTTCACTTTTGGGCTTTGTTTGGAAGAACAAACCCATGCACCAAGGTAGCTGGCAATGCCTGGAGGTGACGGGATCGCAGAGCGATGGCCACGAAGGGATCCCGGGGATGGGAACGAAGAAGAGCTTGGCTCGTCCCACCTCAGTGCTCCTTATTTCAAACGCTGTCACAAGGTGACTTCCCCAGGTCAGTCACACAATGCTGGACCAACCAGCTCCCCCTTGAAGAGGCCCCAGTGAGGGAGGACCCAGTATGGGGTGAGCCTGCTCCTAAATCCTCCCACAAGCCCTTGAGATAATTTGTCCACCTTCCTGGCATGAAATGAGGGTAACGCGTCCCCATGCGGCGCTCAGCCCTGGTACCCACACGGTATTTTGCCGCCTTCCAACTGCTCCTGCCCAGTCCCTTGGCCCACATTCTCCACAAACACATCACCATCAGCAGCAAAAGTCGTGTCTGCAATGACAGCTCAAAGCCTTTTGTGGTGATCGCTTGGGGAAAAAACAACTTAAAAAAAAAATAAAGTGGCTCCTAACTGATTTTTTTTTCCTGAATGAAACCAGAGCTTGATGGAGCGGGTTACCAGACCCTGCAACCGTGCCCAGAAACCTGGTGAAAAGCACTTTGTAAAGACGAGCGGTGCGTGGCTGCCCGGGATGGTGCACCCTGAGTGCGTTGCAGTCAGCTAACGAGGGAAGACGACGTCACTACATCTGCTCCCCATTAAAGCTTCCCTCATTTAGCGGAGGGCTGAGCTGTACCAGGTTGCTTTCAGCCGGGGAAGAATTCGCTCTGGCTCCGTCAGCCTCTCGGTAACATCTGAATTCCTGCGCTGTCCCTGACCTTTTGGCACCAACCCTGCTCCTGTTCCCCAGCCGCCTCCCTGGCTCCTGCCGAGGGGCCCCGACGGCGTTTCTGTAACGCTCGCAGCCATCGCGGGCTTGCAGCAGCTCCCGGGACGCCACCAGCACCAAGGAGGCTTGTGGGAATGAAGAACTCCAAGGGAAATGAAGCGCTGTGGGATTTACAAGGCTTGTTTTCCCCAGAAACCACAGATTTTGGGTGCTTTTGCTCCCGGGTGTGGGCAGTGGCCGGCGTGGCAGTGGCAGGAGCCAGGGGAGGTAGCTACGTGTTCAGGGTATCACCAAGTTCAGCCCAGCATCTTGCAAATGACACTTGTGACATTGGAAATCACAAGTGCGGGTGGTCCTGCGAACAATGGGACTCGGGTGAAAAGCTGTGAGATTTTTAAAGAAAAAAGCAGCTTCGGGGCTCTCCTTAGAGGCACCTGAGAGCAGGAATCCAGAGCACTCCTGGTTTTCTGCTCCACTGTAACCACGAGGGCTTAAAAAAGTTGCTTTGCACTGGAGACAGGGATTTGCTTATCACTGCCAGCAAGAATTGGAGCCTTTTGAAAAGCAGCGGGGTTACAGGAGCGGCAGTGCCCAGCCCGAACCCAGGCTCCAAACCCCTTCCCTGCAGAGAGGCTGTGGGCTCCATCCCTCCGTCCTCCCTCCCGCAGAGGGCCACAGGGTCTGTCCGTCCATCTGTCCTCCCTCTCCACAAGGTTATCCTCCACGAGCACCGGCCTCGGAGGGTGTCGCTCAGCCCTCGCACAGGGAATTGCCATCAGCTCCAGCAGTGCTCCTGATTTACACCAATTAACTGCAAACTGAGGTCCCCAAGACACCATTAGTAGTTCCAGCGGATGAAGTGGGAGATTAACTTGTCTGAATTCACTCCATTTATTATTCAATGTGTAATTGTGGTTTCCCTGTCTGCCGAACAGCCTGGGAGTTTTTTCACTTACGTATGTACACACGGGGTTTTGGCATCTGTTTTGTGGTCAGTGAGCAACAAGGGAGGGGAGCCAAAATTGTGGCACGCACCTCAAGGCGTTGAGCTGAGAGCTGTCCCAGCAGTGGGGGGACAGAGGTGGTCAAGTCCCCATCCCTGGAGGGATTTAAGAGAAGGATAGATGAGGTGCTTAGGGACAGGGTTTAGCGGTGGGATGGCAGGGTTAGGTTAACGGTTGGACTTGATGATCTTAAAGGTCTTTTCCAACCAAAGCTATTCCTAGTCTATGATTCTATGACAGCCCCGCGATGTCCTCCCGGACGCTGCTTTCCCCCACGGAACCCCTTTTCCATCCACTTTTGCCTTAGAAAAATGCAGGTGCTGCGGTGGCAGGGGCCAGCACTTGCCACTACAGCGAGGGGACGCCTGCTGGCACTTAAGCTGCCTGGCCGAGGAGGAGCTGCGCGTTCTCCGTTTACAACCGTGCCACCGATGCGGCAGTTTTGCCGTCAGTGGAAACGAGCGTGGGGAGCCAGCGTGAACGATGGAACCCGTGCGATTGTACCTGCCGCGCCGATCCCGCTGGTCCGACTGTGCTGGTGCCACCGCTGCTCCAGTGCCGGAGCAGTCCCCGTGAGATGAGCATCCCACCGCTGGTGGCTGCTGAGCACCCGCGGTAGAGCATCCCTGGCCACCTCGCCGCATCACGCAGCCCATCGCCTCGTGCCGCGTCATTTCCCCGAGGGCTGAGCTGGGCAACGCGCTGCACCGGGCACTTGTAACGTACTGAGCGACCCGAGACCACGCGAGACACACGCCCGCTGTAGAATGCTGCCAGCTGCATCGTAGTGTAGCGTACGGGGGCGATAAAGGCTGGGAAGAGAAAGAAATGCAAAGAAATGCAAACAACTGCCTCGATCTTATCTTCAGTCTTCACTTCTCATCCTCCCCGCTCCCCTGTAACCGCTGTCCCTGTCCCTCTGCTCTGTTCACCCTGCGCTGCCCTGTTTGCAGCCATCCCACTGCGTCCCCTCTCGGCTGCCTCCCACCAGCGCCTCACGCTGTGAACCGGGAGCTGGCAGTGGGATTTGCGGTCACCCGTCACCCCCCCAAGGTCCTCCCTTGCTCATCTGCGGGGTTACCTGTCATTAGGAGAAAGACTCATCAGAGTTAGGCAGGCTGACGCAATTCCCCTTAACCACTATCAGAGAACACTATGGTAAGTGCAGATTTATTATCTCTGTAATGCAGATAAAATGAGATTTTATGGCCCCGTAGTCCTGGCAGCATAAAGTAATAATGGGAACTATCGACTCAAGTAGGGAACGCATCCTAGGAAGCAAGGGAGATGCATGGGAGGTTAATAGCGTGTCCCCGGGCACTGCCAGATATCCCCTCGCCAACCTCGCTGGACGCGAGCCACGGAGCATTCGGCCCGCTGTGCCATCCCAGAGAAGCCTCACCATTCATTTGTTAGATGTTTCTGCTTATTTTTCACATTAAAAATTTCCCCAGCAAGATAAAAGCGTAAAACCAGATGATTTTTTTTTTTTTCCTTTTTCTTATAGGAATCAGTTCAAAACTGAGAAATGAGCAAGCATCAAGTTTCACATTAAAAATTTCCCCAGCAAGATAAAAGCATAAAACCAGATGATTTTTTTTTTTCCTTTTTCTTATAGGAATCAATTCAAAACTGAGAAATGAGCAAGCATTAAGAAATGCCTCACAAACCCAAATTCTGCCCATGCCTGAAATCCCATAGGATGATGGTGGGTGCCTGGGTCCTTAGGGGTTTTTCAGGTTTCCCAACCTCCGCAAATTTCCCCAGCAAGATAAAAGCATAAAACCAGATGATTTTTTTTTTTCCTTTTTCTTATAGGAATCAATTCAAAACTGAGAAATGAGCAAGCATTAAGAAATGCCTCACAAACCCAAATTCTGCCCATGCCTGAAATCCCATAGGATGATGGTGGGTGCCTGGGTCCTTAGGGGTTTTTCAGGTTTCCCAACCTCCGCAGTTATGAGCTCGGGCACGAGGGTGAATCCTGGCTCCTGCTCCCACCGCTGCTTCCCAGCCGCACGGTGCAGCCCTGCTGAGTCCCGCCGCGCTGCCCCCGGCCTGCCCGCTGCCGCGTCTTGGTCAGATCCCTCCAGAACCGGGTTACTCGGAGAAGCACCCGCCTGGATTTGAGCTGTGAGGAAAGGGGCACGCAGGCCCCCCTGCCTGCTGAGCTGCCTTGCAGGTCCATCCCTGGCAAACCCACGCTGGCAGAGAGCTCTCCGCGTCCCATCCTCCCCGCGTCTTGAGGGATGGGGTACGGCCCAGCGCCTAACAGCAAATTTCCCAGGGTCCAACCACTCCAAGCACAGCTGCAGATCAGCCTTCCAGGACAAGATTTTCCCTCGGAATAAGAGCTGTAACAGACTCCATCGCGAGACAAATTCCACTCTTTTTTTTTTTTAAAATATTTTATTAATAACCCATTAGTTAAGGAATATAAGGACAATGTCTTCTTACACTTTAACACTAAAGAGTATTTGTGGAGTAAGAACAGTCTCTGAAGAAAGAAAGTTATAATTAAGTACGGCATGGAACCAAACACAGACACAATCTTCAAACGAGATCAAGTTCTGGTTACACATCCTTATGCACTGTGTAGAAAATTAAATGAAATTCAATTTTAAAATACTAGCAAGGGAATACGATAACAGAACTAGATGGTGGATTTCTGCTGGACTAAACACCTCCTTTCTAACAAAAAAAACTGATTAGAAAAGACACGATGATCCCTTCAAAACATCTATTTCTAATGAGATCAAAACCATATGTAGTGCTCTATTAAAATGGTTGCTTTCTTACACAGCACGCTGCATGGGCTGCTCTCAGGATTGTTAGGTAGTACTGCAAAAAGTTCACAAACCCTAGATTATCAGTTATCTCATTTGAACTATTTAAACCAGAACTTTGCTGTCTGTTAAATAAGAAATCAAATCAACTAAAAGTTAAAGAGATTTTTAGCCGAGCCACGTGTTTCATGTAACAAGGAATTAAAAGAAACAAAAGGATGAGAACTGTGACTCTCGCAGCAGCATGGGGAATATACAGTTGTGCAGCCAAACAGGAACATTAATACTACAAAATTATGCCAGTGAGACAAACCTGACATTTTAACAATGTAAAACAATATACACCAGCAAAAAGTTGAACAGCAATAATCTTTAGTGTTACTGAAAGGAAGAAAAGGGAGAAAGGAGCCTGATGCGTAGGAACATACATTATGTATGATGGGTAATTAAAGGTATCAACAGTTTGTGTGTCTGTGAGAAATCTGCAAGAAAGCTACTTATTTCATGATAAAAAAATATATGCACTGGTTGTTTCCGCTTCACACACAAAACGCGTATTATCTGCCTTCTTCTATTCATTTCTAGCTGAGACTAGAAAGGTCCCACGCGCGTTCGGGACAGGAGGGACCCGGGGCACGGCCGAGTTAGACAAGGGCAGCCAGCACTCCGCACAGACACGCGCTGGTACCGAGAACGGCTTCGCTGCTGCCGGTCAGCGGTGATCTCTCGGCTCCGAGGGAACCGCCTCGATTGCTGTAGCTGAGGTCTGGCGTACCGGTCTGCGGCCACCGCAGTACTTGGACATCCAAACAGCGCCGGTTTCAGGCTGCGGTACAGTTTGGTGGGTTGTAACAAGATCAGAATAAGCCTCAGCATGAGGAGACAAAATATTTTTGTGATGCATAAGCAGAACTGTTTGCACTCCGCTGCATCTTCCTCCCCGAGCTCTCAGAGCACGTAACTAACTTGGTGGTTTCGTGATCGGCCCAAGGCGATCCCAGGGAATGGTGCCACACTCTGCCTGCTTGCGCTGGCCTCAGTGACAGGCAGGGACAGATTTTAGGTAGATCAGCGATGCTCACCCTGTGGCTGTGTGATTGCTAAAGTCAGTACAGACAAAGCAGAGGCTGCATGAACAAAGGAGCGCCCCAGAAACTGCAGCACACACCTCCGTCAGGCACTGGGACTAAGCGCTACCCCACACACCCCAGATGGGAAGCTCAGGGCTGGTCCGTGACCTGTCCCAGGTACAGTGTCACAACAGGGAGCCAGAGGAGAACTCCAGTGGCCCGGCCATACCCGCT